GACTATTATTTTAAAATGACGATATGTTGGTGAATATGAATTTATCTGCCCAAAGCATGAGTACTCATTGCAGCGACCAATATCGTATTTCAAATTGTATATGGCGGTTCGTCCCGGTTCCTCCCAATTATCCTCGAGTATGATTTATTTGCGTTTACCGGTATTTTAATCTCCAACGCCAACTATTGTATCACATTAAGATCCTTTACAAAAGTCGTTGTGTCATCGGTATAACGATGAAAGACCTAAAATGTATGTTTGTCAACCTAAATTTTCAATCGTTACATTGGTATTTTTAAAGAAATAGTACTATCCGCCTCACTCAGCTTTATCGAACGTGATCCACGTGGACTCCGTTGAGGCAGGTCTTGTGTGACCTTGGATGTGAAGAAGTATTTTTCTCTAATCGGGTCGTGGACCCGTGGAATAACCTATCTGAGGCGATTGTTATGTCCCAATCTGTGGAAACATTCAAACACCGAGCTGATATACATATGTTACAGCACAACGTGGACTATGTGAAAAATTAACCTTGAAATACCCCTGCACATTGTGACGGTCTTTTTTTCCTGACTGAAAACGTAACATTGTTTCTAATTCTTGAGATTTTGATGTGACAAATAGGGAGTTCAAAGACAAAAGCCTATTTTTCTCAAATATAGTGACTGATACTGACAGACTGACCAAATATCTCACTCTCTGGAGCGTTGGACCTAAGCATTTCAAGAAAACCCGCTGCAGGTGGCATATATTGACTTTAAGAAGGCATTAGATAGTTTCTCATGTCACTGTGTCCTTTCACAGACCCAGCCAAAAAGTCTTTCATGGAAGCTGCCCTAAGTATTTTTAAATCTTCCTCTTTAGTCGCTCCAAAACTGTTCAAGTCCGCGACCAGCAGTCGATAGAGCATGCGGCTGAAAATGGTGTTCCCCAAGGCTCAGTTCTTAGACCTAGTCTGCTCATTATATACGTAAAAGACTACGGCCTCCCTGGCGAGGAGGTCCTCTAAGATACTATTGAAATTTTTAAACGCAAACTTGATTCGCATCTGATGAGAAATTGTAACCGATATAATGAACATATTGTCAGTAGCAGCAATTTACAGCTGGCTCACTGATTTTGCTGATGTCGAGTCTACATTTGTATTATGTACTATCATTAAGGTTGAACCCTTTTGCGATTTTTAGATATAAATGGGGAGATAAAAGGCAAAAGCCTTCTTCCCTTAATAAAGTAGCTTAAAGTGACTTGACATAAGAGCGGAATAGAGATTCCACCGAGTTAGCACATTAAAGGCGTGAAAGGTGTCCTGTTCACATGCTGCAGCACAACGGGAACTATGTGTCAAATTAGCCTCGAAACACCACTACATCATGTGAGGCATATTTTTCCTGACTGAAAACGTTAACATTGTTTATTAATTCTTGAGATTTTGATGTGACAAATAGGGAGTTCAAAGGTGCAAGCCTATGAGTTCAAAGGCGCAAGCCTATTTTTCCCTCAAATTTACTGACTGACTGACTAAGGAAAATTCGTGATAGCTCTTTTAAACAAAGGATGGACTTGCTACTTCCGACGCATGGACGGGCTACTGCGGCCTGCCGAAGCTGGGATCCAACCACTTAAACATCACACATTTCCCAAAATTTTTGAATCCGGA